TGGTAGAGTGCTAATACAACATGTAACAGTAGGCTTAGCCTGATTCCAGGAGATCAGGAAGGGATTTTCTGATAAATTGACAAGGAATCTGAGCCAGACCTTGGCTCAATGATAAGTGTTTGTCTAACAGGAGCACTGGGTTCAATCAACAGCAATGCAAAAAAGAAACAGAAAGAAAGAGGGTGGTGAGGGAGAAGGAAAAGAAGAGGGAGAAGGATAGAGTGAGAGGGAAGAAAGGAGAAGTGAGAGGGAGAAAAAAGTGAGGTCAGATTTGGCCTGATGATTAAGAGTACTGTCATGGTTACTTTTCTCTCCTTGCTGAGACAAAATACCTGACACCCAAAATGAAGGAAGGAAAGGTTTATTTAGCTCACAGTTTTTGTAGGTACAAAAACTGCTGGCTCCAACGTAGGGTGGCACAGCTGAAGGGCAGCCGTTCATGGCAGCCGCAAGTGGCAAGAGTGAAAAGGGCGAAAAAGGAAAAGCGTGCCACCTTCTGTCCCTTATATCGCACGCCGATTACCCACCCCTGGGTGGCTACAACACTCATACCACTAATCCCAGCCTGAGACAACACACCAACCACAAACACTACACTCTGCCACCTTCATGAATGCATGAGGCTTTGGGGGGGATGCTCAAACAACACATGACAAATGCTACAGTTTGGATCTCAAATGTCTCCCCAAAAGCTATATATGCTGAGCCTTGTTCCCCAAGTGGCACTTCGGAGAAGTAGTGGAGCTTCCAAGAAGTGAGGCCTAGTGGGAGATTTCTAATCACTGAGAGAACATCTTTGAAGGGAATTGTGAAACACCGCCACTTCCTGCTCCTCTTTCTTCCACATCCAGCCCTGAGGTGATCGAGCAGTTTCCCCCTGCTATGATGCCCTGCCCCATCAGAGGTCCAAACCAAAGGGGCCAATGGAACATTGGAAGCCCCAAAATGCTGAGCCCAGATAAAAACTTTCCTCTTTCTCAGTTGATATTTCCAGGATTTGTGACAGTAACAGGAAGCTGACCAGTACAGTGAGGTTAAACATAAGGAAACTACATCTGCCAAAAGCTACAAGAAATAGTTACCTTGTAGTGGGAGTGGGAAAAGATGCACCAACAAACACAGCCAGGGAGACGGTGGGCCCAGAAGGAGGTACTTGTTTACCTGCAGCAGTCTCTGTGGAAATCATGGCTTCTGGCCCACTCAAGAGCATCTTGCCAAGTCAGTGAGCCTCAGTACCTGTAGAGTCACAATGAGCTCCATTTACCAGAGCCAGTTCTGTTCTGGGAACAGCACCAGGAACCTTCTGAACATTCACTTCTGTAGTTTCTTGGATCTGTATCAACACAGCTTGGTTTCTACTAGAATGAAGGTCATGAGAGGCAATATACAAAATATAAACCGTAAAATGCTCCATTTCTTATAACCCCTGGGCACTGGGAGAGGAGGAGAAAGTAATTCAGAGATAGGAAAGAAAATTAGCATTTATGGAGTGCTTATTACATGCCAGGCAGTACAGTGAGAGTTTGGCGTATGTTATCTGGGTTTTTACCCTTCTAATCTTCACAATACCCCAGGAAGAGAGCATTGTTTTTCACATTTTAAAACATGGAAAGCAAGATTTGAAAAAGGCAGAGATTTTCCTCAGGGCAAAAGAAAATAAACAATACAAGTCAAGAGCTGAACATGGAATCTTGTATGGATGGAGATCTACATGAAAACCAAGCCGGGCAGATTTATAACTTCCGCTGTTTCCCTGGGATCTGTGCTTCATCCCACAGATACTGGTCTGCTTTTTTCTCTCATTCCCATTGTTTTGTTTTGTTTTTTCTTTTTACTTTTCTCCTCCTGGTCCACTCTCAGGTTCATTCTCATGGTGTCTGTCTCTAAAACTGGTTCTCCTTTTTATATCCACCAAAACTTCTGGAATATTCAAAATCCAAAGCAGGATTTTCTCTGACAAAGCCCTGAAGTCTCTTAGATACGAGTAATGCTGAGAATCACAATGCCACCCACATCCCCCAAAGACAATTCAAAGCCATTACTTTGCCTACTTCCTTTATAACAATGATACAGACGGCATCTTAGACCTGGCAGTCTAAAAGAAACATGTGCAGCTCAGCTACTGACATATTATTCTGTTTCGACATCTTATTGCTGCTGCAGTGTTATGATTTTATCTGGATTCTAATAGGACTTTGGGGGAATGTGAGATCCATAAAAACATATTTATGAAGCTGAAATAAAAGAATTGGGATGGCTATGAAGGGAACAAGGAGGAACAAAACATCAAAGAATGCTGGGAGTTACTGTGGATATTCCACTTCTGGTATCTGGGATGGAATGCAGACAAGAACAATTTCTTTATAAAAATTGAAAAGTTAAAATATAATTTTAGCTAAGGACAAGATTGTATACAGTATTTTTCTTCTTTTTTCTAGTCTAGACAGAAGACATATAAGCTCCAGAAAAAGTGTTTCTAAATTTTAGCGTACACATTTATTTTGACTTTAGATTTTAATGAACTTTAAAAACACAATCCATTATCTTTTGAAGAACAAAGTCTTAAATTTGATCCAGTCAAATATACTAATATTTTAGTTGTTTTGTTTTGTCTTTTTGAGATAGGGTTTCACTATGTAGTGCAGGCTGGCCTTCAACTAACTTTGTAGCCCAAGCTGGCCTCAAACTCACAGAGCCACCTGCTGCAGAGTCCCAAGTGCAAGAATTACAAGCATGTGCCACCATGCCCAGTTACACTTTTTTTTATTCTATGAACTAAATATTTCTCTCCCAAATTTCTAAAAATGTTAAGAACTTTAACATTTGCTCTGTTTAAAATTAAGCTTACAATAAAATAATAATATAGAGAATATATATTTATTAGAGTAATACTTATCACAAGCCTAAAACCATCATTATACTTAAAAATGAAATGTAAGAAATAAATCATGAAAGCTAAAACAAGATGGGAATGTCACTGGGTATGGCAACACACTATTGTAAACCCAGCACTCAGGAGGCTGAGGTAGGAGGATCCTTGCAAGTTCAAGACCAGCCTGGGCTACAAAATGAGCTCAAAGCCAGCCTGAACCACATAGTGAGACCCTGTCTCTAAAAGACAGGGAAAAATAAAAGATGAGAATGTCCATTATCACCATCATTATTCAATGTTTTTCCTGTACATACTGAACCAGGCAACTAAAGAAAGGAAAGATTCATGAAGCACATAAATTATAAAAACACTACAGGGTCTGTACATGATGGTATTGTATGCCAGGAATACCAAGGACAATCAAGGAAAAGGACTTTTTAAAAGGAATAATAAAATTCAGTAAAGTGAATCAATGAAATTCAAATATCTAGAAAATAGCATCTTTTATTAATAAAAACAACAAGAAGTTAGGAAGCCCACAGATTTTCCTATAGAAATACATTTTCATATGCTCAAGATCTACATAGTTAAATATTTTAACTAACATAAGACTTAAAAAATTTGAATATCCCAAAAGCCATATCATGTTCTAGATCTATGACAGAAACACTCTATTTCATAAAGATGATACACCTGCAAGTTTAAAATATTTACAACTCAAGAATTAATCCACTACATTAAAATAATATTAAAAAATACTGTGACAATTTTTAACTAGACAGGCTAATTCTAAAATTTATATGGGAAAGTAATATAGAAAAATAACCAGAATGCCAATAAACTGGAAGATTTAGGAGAAATGGGTAGATTCCTACATATATATGAATTACTAAAATTGAACAAAGTTTTTAAAGTGCTGAATAATCCAATAACAAGCAATGAAATTGAAGCAGTAATAAAAAAAAATACAGCAACTAAGAAAAACCCAAGTCCAAATTGGTTCACTGCTGAATTCGACAAAAACTTCAGGGAAGTTCTAATACCAATACTCCTCAAACTCTTTAGTGAAATCAGAAGTGAAAGAGTGCTCTCAAACTCATTCCTGAAAGCTAGCAATACCCTGATTCCAAAACCAGACAAAGATACAAAGATTCAACCAAAAAAGAGAACTTTGGCAGGGTGTGGTGGGACATGCCTATGATCCCAGAGGCTGAAGAAAGAGGATCCCTACCAGTTGAGTTGAAGCCCAGCCCCTGAACTACATAGTGCAAACCTATTGAGAGACAGAGAGAGAGAGAGAACTTTGGAACCAACTCTTTTAATGAATATAGATGCAAAAATCCTCAAGAAGATAATACAAACAGAATGCAGTGAACATTGGTCACACATCATGACCAAGCAAGCTTCATTCCAAGCAGCCCAAGGATAGAACGATGGTTCAATGCAGGTGCATCAATAAATGTAACATATCACATAAATTGAAGCAAGGAGAAAAATCACATCATCATTATCATCTCGACAGATAAGAAAAGCTTTTGGCAAAATCCAATATCCTGTCATGATTTAAAAAAAAAAACACTCAAGAAAATATGTTATAGATGGATCTCAATCTGATGAAACCCTATGACAAGCCTACCACCAACATCATATTAAATGGGAAGGAAACTGACAGCTTTCCCTCTAAAATCAGGAACAAGACAAGGATATCACCTATCTCCTCTCTTGTTCAACACAGTACTCAAAATATCGGCAAGAGCAATTAGGCAGATGACATGATCCTCTATATAGATCTCAAAAACTTCCACCAAAAGACTGCTAGAATTAATAGCCAAAGTCAGAAATATAACAGGAGACAAAATTAACCCACAAAAATCTATAGTACACCAATAATGAACTCACTGAGAAAAAATTAGTTAAATTATACCATTTGCAATAGCATTAAGAAAAAATACTTAGCAATGAATCTGATCAAGAAATGAAACAACTGTACAGCATTTAAAAATCAAAACACTACCTCTTTCACCAAATTTTTTTGTAATGGGGATTTAAATGGCTCCATACAAGTCTCTGTGGCCGCCAGCACCCCTGTGACCAGACCACGCACCTACTCATCCAGGCCAAGGGATCCGCCACCATGGAAGATACAACCAAGTTTAGCAATACAGAGGAGTTGGCAGAGGGGTCTGAGATCAACGCGAGCAAAAATAACAATAAAATATTTATTGGAGGCTTGAGCTGGGATACAAGCAAGAAAGATCTGACTGCGTATTTGTCTCAATTTGGGAGAGTTGTAGACTGCACAATTAAAACAGATCCAGTCACTGAAAGAGCAAGAGGATTTGTGCTTTTCCAAGATGCTGCTAGAGTTGATAAGGTTTTGGAACTTAAAGAACACAAACTGGATGGCAAATTAATAAATCCCTAAAGGGTCAAAGCTTTAAAGAGGAAAGAACCCCTAAAAAGGTGTTTGTGGCTGAATTGAGCCCCGATACTTTTGAAGAACAAATTAAAGAATATTTTGGAGCCTTTGGAGATATTGAAAACACTGAACTTCCCATGGATACAAAAACAAATGAAAGGAGAGGAGGATTTTGTTTCATCACATACACAGATGAAGATCCAGTCAAGAAACTTGTTAGAAAGCAGATTCCACAAATTGGTTCTGGGAAGTGTGAAATCAAAGTTTCACAACCCAAAGAAGTAAATCAGCAGCAACAGCAACCACAGGAAGGAGAAGGGCGCTGCAGCTGGGGTTCGAGGTGGACCCAAGGATGTAACAACTATTACAATCAAGGATGTGGAAATTACCATAGTGCCTATGGTGGTGATCAGAATCCTAGTGGCTATGGCAGATATGCTTGTGCGGGGTACAAATGCAGGGACTATGGATACAGACAGAGATATGCAGACCACCTTGGTCAGCAGAGCACTCACAGCAAGCTGTCTCGAGGAGGTGGCAGTCACCAAAACAGTTACCAGCCACACTAAAGAGGAAGACATTGGAGAAAACAGGGGATGCTACAGAAATGTTTCAGGACGACACTGAAGATCGGTCTTCTTTTGCTCTAATGATTATTTTGTAAAAGACTTTCCAGTGTACAAGACACAACTGTGTTCAACTTTATATAGCTGCCAATTAGTTTTTGTTTTTACTCTGTCCTTTGCCATGTGTTATGACTCTGTGGATTTGTGTTTATACAATTTCATTTGTAGGATTCCTCATGTTAAACCCCAAATAAAAGCTGCCTTATATGAAAAAATAAATAATAAAAAGACTACCTGGCAAGCGTGAGGTCATGAATCTGATTCCTGGTATCAAAAAAAAAAAAAAAAAAAAGAAAGAAAGAAAGAAAGAAAGAAAATTTTAAAAGATATACCCTCTTCTTGCATAGGCAGAACCAGTATAGTCAAAATGGCCATATTTCTAAAACTGGTGCACAGATTTAATGCTACCTCAATCAAAATACCAACAGCATACCTTACAGATCTGACTAATCCACTGATGAATTCACATATAAGTGTATTATTGGGAGAGAAGACCTGGTTGGAATAAGTAGGTCAGTGGGGTGTGGCCTACAAGGGTATGTACTTATCCCCATCCCATTTCCATCTCCTCCCCATCAGGTTTTTCTGCTCTGTTTCCTACCTACCATGAGCTGAGCAGATTTTCTTTCATTGCCTTTCTGCCATGATGTCTCTGACGTCTGCTAGTTAGCCATGTACTGAAACCTCTGAAACCATGACCCAAAATAAACCTTTTCTCCTTTAAATTGTATACATCAGTTATTTTGTCCCAGTAATGGAGAAAATAGTTAATTCAACTGAGACTGCATTGAATCTATAAATCATGTTGGGCAGAAATGATACCATATCAAGATTAAGTCTTTCAATTCATGAACATAGAATAACTTTCCACATGCTCAGTTTTTCGTTGATTCCTTTTATCATCATTTTTCAGTTTTCCTCATGGGGAATAGATAGATACATAGATAGACAGACAGACAGTTACCTAAGTTGTTCATTTTGGTGCCAATGTAAATAGTACTGTAATGTAAATCTCAATCTACTTGTTGATTGCTGGGATGTAGAAAAGTCATTGGACTTGGCATATTAACTTTGTATTATTAATGCCTTCAATTCTTCTACAATCATGGCATCTGTAAACAATTTTTATTTCTTCCTAATAAAGATATTTTTTATTTTTTTGTCTTGCTGCCTTAGATAGGACTTCCAGGATGATGTAAAAAGTTTTAGGTTCCTATATCATTGAATTCTTCAGTCCTTTAAAAAATTATTTCATGCTATAGATCATACCTGAAACAGATTTTCTTGTGCTCTTTGAAAGGTAAATTTTATTTTGTTTTTTAATATTTATTATTTCAGTTTTTCTTGCACTGAAACTTTATGCATATAGTATGTATAGTATAACATATAGTTTCAAGCTTGTATTTTTTATATAATATCCAGTTTTTACAATGCCATTTTTCACTACCAATATGAAATAATGCCTTTATTAAATAACAAATCATTGAACCTATTTGTACTTCTCTGGCACTTATTTTTTGTGCATTTATGATACCTTTTTAATTGTTTTAATGCCTTACTTTTAATTACATTTTTCCTAGTAATTGCTAGAAAAGTAGACAGAAGATCGGTAAAGATATAGGCTTGAGCAACACTATCAGTCAACTTGACCTTATTAAGATTTATGGACCATATCTCCAAAGCCCTCAGAATAGACACTCTTTAATATACATAAGAATACTCACTGAACAGACTACATGTTGGGCCATAAAACAAAAGGTAATAAATTTCAAAGGAAATTACACTGAAAACATTCTCGGGCCACAACTATATTAAATTAGAAATCATAAACAAAAAGGCATATGGAAAAGTCCTCAAATATTTGGATATTAAACAACATGCTTATAAATCAATAATGGGCCAAAGAGGAAATTAGAAAATACTTTTAAGTGAATACAAATGAAAACACAACATATAAAAATTTGTGATATGTAACATAGAGGAAGAATTACAACCTTAGATGCTCACAGTTTAGAAATAAAGCAGAAAATCCTGAAATTTGATTCTGCCTTAAGAAAAAAAAAAGAGCAAATTAAGTCCAAAGTAAGTGAAAGGAAGGACTTAATATAGGCAAAATTAGAAATTATTCAAAAGAAAAAAATGAAACAATAGCATTTACCTGGAACAAATCAACAAACATCGATAAGCTTCTAGCTAAATTAGTCAAGAAAATGAGAAAATAAAAACAATATCATAAAGTAAATATTCTATAAACATTGAACATTGAACTACTGCAAGAAACGTATGTCAACAAATTCAACTCAGATGAGGTAGAACAAATTTCCTAAATGATGCAAAGTGTCAGTGCTAAAGTAATAAAAAGGGGGAATCCATACATCAAAATTTAGAAATTTTGCAAAGAAATTTTACAGGGATTATATTCATTAAAGTAATTCGTAATTTAAGATCTTCCCACAAGGAAATCTCTAGGCCTAGATTTCTTCAATGACTAATCTTACCAAATAGTTAAGGAAAAAATAATACCAATCTTATATAAACTTTCCAAGAAATAGAAGATGAGTAAGCACTTTCAAACATATTTTATAAGGACACCATGACTCTGATTCTAAAACTAGATATAGATTTTGTAAGTAAGAAATATGTGGACCAGTATCCTTCATGACCATAGATGCAATCCTTAGCAAAATATTAGCAAATCAAATCTAGTGATTTATAAGGATAGTATATCATAATCAAAGAGAGTTGTCCTTCTGCTAGCAGATAAATTTAGCCTTTAAGATTTTACCAACATAATTTTTAAAACTTTCCAAACTAGCAATAAGTGGGAAATTCTACAAGCTAATAAAGAAGACCTATGCAAACCCATTGCTAGCATCATACATAATGGTGAAAGACAGTAATTCCTCCCTAAGATCAGAGTTCAGGTACAGGCGTCACTCTCATGGTTGTATCTTTACAAGTCAAGAAAAACAGGGAAATAAAAGGCACACAGTTAGAAAGGAAGAAGTAAAATTGCCTATCTCTAGAAAACATTATATTCATATAAAATTCTAATATTGTATTTTTAAAGCTTATAAGTGATTCTAGCAATGTCACAGTTACAAGATAAATATACAAACATAAATTGTATTTGTACATACTAGGCAAAGGACAGTTACCAAAAACTACCATTTACAATGGCACCAAGACTACGACATACTTAGGGTTAAATCTCTCAGAACACTGCTGAGAGAATTTAAAGGGTAAACAAATGCAAAGACACCGTGGTCATGTTAGGGCCAACGCCGCAGGGAAAGAGACCCCAAGGACTCAGCTCTTGGTGAGGAAAAGAAAGTTTATTTCCATGCGCATGGGGTCCCTCAGGCAAACGTGTGCGGAGGGGCCCCGAGGGGAATTTGTGTAGGGTTTTTAAAGGTACACGCAGGAGGCAAGTAAGTTTACAGAAGCAAATCGCATTGGTTAATTTTGAGCGGCGCAGGACCTGGCTAATGCTGATTTGAGGGTCTGGGGCTGAGTAACCATGGAGACCGAGGGTCTTGGGTTGACCTTAGAGTGCCAGGTGTTCCCTGGTCCTGTTTATACAGTACATTCTTTTGCTTATCTCTATCTTTACAGAGAACAGAACATCTAGTGGTTAATGACTAGCAGAGACATTCCTTTTGGCCCTGCTCTGACTATCTCCTGGGAAAGGTTTAGGGAGTGAAGCATTCTTTACTGCTCTGTTCTGATAGCTCTGGGAAGTTAGGGAGTCAACCCTTTCATTCCCTGCTCTGGGGAGTTAGAGAGTTAACCCTTTTATTCCCCGCTCTGGGGAGTTAGAGAGTTAACCCTTTCATTCCCCGCTCTGGGGAGGGGGTTGTAGCAGGGGGGGTCGACTCTCACATTCCCCCCTTTTATTTCTCCAATGACTTTTAATCCTAAAGGTCCTGTATAGGTAAGGGGTCATATTGTTGACGTAGCACCATAACTTTTACCTGAGAGATCTGGGCCCTCACAAATTGGGTTACTCGGTTAATGAGGCAAGGGGCTATAGCCATGACTATAATGAATCCGGCCAGGGGTCCCAGTAAAGGGAGAACATAGGGCAGGATTGATTCCCAGAAGGAAAACATTTTGGCTTCATTTGAAGGGGGCTCTCGAGATTTGATTCTCTCTCTCAACTTTTCCATTGCGTCCTTTACAATCCCAGTATGATCGGTGTAGAAACAACATTCTTCTCTAAGTGCGGCGCAGAGACCGCCTTCTTTTAAAAATAGTAGATCTAAGCCTCTCCTGTTCTGTAACACTACTTCAGATAGAGACGAGAGAGATTGTTGTAACGCAGTTATAGAAGTTTCTAAGGCCTGTAAATCTTGGTTTACTACTGCAAGAAGTTGTTGGCGAGATTGATGCCCAGTAATGAGGGCTGCTGTGCCAGTTCCTATTCCCCCCGCCACACCTATCCCCAATAGGACTGCTAGGGTCAGGGAGACAGGTTCTCGTTTATATCGACCTCTCATGAGGGGGAGCATGTTAGGGGGGAGATATTTAATGCGTGGCATAAGGTCTATAAGGATGCAGGAGCTATCCCCTGCCAGGAGTACGTTTGTGGAGACACAAGGGGTGAGCCCTGTAGTACATAACCAGAATGTCCCAGTAGGAGGGATGAGGTATTGGTTCCTGGGGAAGGAGCGGGTATGTGTGAGGCAACGATGGCGTAGGTTTGTAGGCCAATTATCAAGTGTCCCTATACAGGTTCCTCGGCTAGCGAGGTCAGGTAAAGGTAGGGTGTGGAACACATGATCCCAGTCGCACTGATCGGGATTAGGAGTCAGCATATAGGAGTCATTTAGAGCAGTCCCCTCATAATATGGAGGGTTAGCATTTAGACATAACCAACAAGCTTGGGCTAGGTCTGGATGGGTAAGATTGAGGGCTTTATGAGCCCCAAGTATAAGACTGAG